CTGATACCTTGACTTGGATGAGCTAGCCTCAGTTTAACTGTTTCAGTGCCTGCTGCAGTACCCAATATATAGCAGACACTCACTATCTGTTGAAAAGAGTGTTCAAAACACTGGATACCATATCCGTCCCCCCAGTTAGTCATAATTGCAGGAGGCCAGTGGTAGCAGCTTTCAACCTGTGTGTCTGTGCCGTGGCTTCTGAAACAGCTGGAAGAGTTCCCATATGTTCATCACTGTATGTGACTGAATATAGTCTCTCTTTCCCAAGACCCTTTTCTCAGGATGCAGTCACATCATTCTGACACCAACCAGTGCCTTATAGTGCTGTTCTATTCTGCTATAATCTAAAGTCTGTGAAAACCCCACCAGCTGAGAGGTTCAGTGTCACATTATGCCCTATTTCATACTACAGATTACAGGGCTCCTATGACCTCCTCCACATTGTAGTTTGCTTGAATGAACGCAGGAAAGCATGGGAAACAGGCAGGGATGGTGTTAGTAATATAGTTTTGTTATAAAGGCTGCAACTCAGCAACAGCCAAATGGAAGAGAAGAGTGGTCTGAGGGGAGAAGTGGAAGAGCTTCCAGCTCTCTTTTAGTGCTGTGTGTTCACTAACCTGGGGCTCTCAAAGCCTCCTGTTCAAAAGTTTTTTAGTTTTTATTTTGTTGTTTTGTTTTGTTTTATTCTAGGCTTCATTATTTAGTCCTATTTGGTTAAGTCTCCAGCCCAGAGGTTGGAAACGGGGCTGGAGGTTCTAATCCTCTAACCTCATGCTTGGTTTCTCTGGCAACCAGCCCAGTCCCATAGCTATCTGGAGGCATCACACTATCAAATTCAGGTGTGGTCAGCAGGGGCTCTTCATAACAAGAGACTTTCTTGTCAGAAACTTGCCAATTTGGGGGAGCTCTGTGCTGAGGAATCCCAGTCAAAGACTTAATTTTTTTTTTTTTAGTTAATTTATTTTGTGTGTGTGCATGTATGTATGTATGTGGGCATGAGCATGCCACAGCATATATGTATGTAGGTCATAAAACAACTTATGGAATCTGGTTCTCTCCTTCCACCATGTGAGTTCTAGGGGTCCAGCTCAGACTTGGTGGCAAGCACCTTAATTTTACCCATAGAGCCATTTCACCAGCCCATGTACTTTTTATTAAGCACAGTAATGAGTACATTTTGGCAGACTCAAGAGTGGTCAGTCCTTCTGTTTGTACTGGAGGACCTTCCACTGGCCTTCCAGACACTACAGATACTCACTTTCACACTGGAAGGAAAGAAGAGGCTTCTGGAACTCGTTCCTCTCCACATGGGTACCAGGCCATAGGCATCCACCTCTCTCTCTCTCTCTCTCTCTCTCTCTCTCTCTCTCTCTCTCACACACACACACACACAGTTTTTAAAAGATATATGTAAATACAGGCTGGGGATATAATTCAGTGGCAAAGCTTCACATGCCTGAGACCCTGGATTTGATACCCTAACAATATGAACCAGCATGTGCACACATGCACCAACAAATCATGTTTTACAGATCTGAATTGGCTTTTTTTGCAATCGTAGGATCAGGCAGCAATCTCCTCCTCAAAAGATAGCATGCTCCACCCACCAGCCAATCAGGTTATGTTTCCAACCAGAGAAAAGGAAGTGAAATACAGAAAAGGAAATGATTGGTTATAGTTCCTGTCTGTCATATTTGAACATGGTTCAAACAGTTGTGATTGACTGATTCTTGTTGTAAGAGTAGGCTATAGTCTGTTTACACAGCAAGCTAGGTTACAGTTCAACATCTGTGGCCAAACAAAATGCATGGATGTGTGCATGTATGCATGGATGTATGTATGCATGGAGATGAATGTAGGCCAAACTTAATAATTCTAACAGGTGGATGGAATCTACTCCTCCCACCATTCTACCTTGTCTTGTTGATAGTATGAGATATCTTGAGCTCTACATATTTTTTCCTATGGTAATGATGGAAAAAACAGTCTGGAAGATGGATGGCAGTGGATAGTTGTACTCTTAGAGTCTTAGAGGAACAACATGGGCCAGTTAGAGGGACCAAGAAGAAATACTGCTTGCATTTCTTATTAGCAGTGTCATTCTGGGCACTTAATGGGACTCATTCTAAACATGAAAGCAGCCTGAAGTATGCTTTTCTTCTTCCTCTATTTCAAGGTCCAGAAGAACTGGTCTTGCTATGCTTACTGTCATCCAATTTCAGATTACATCACACACACTTTATTCTTACCTTAATCCTGGCAAAATCTGTACTGCTTTATCCCACAGTTGGATGGTTCCAAAGGCAAGTTGAGGAGGCTTTGTAATCATGTGTGGTTTCCCCTCTCCTGGATTCTCTGAGGCTTGTGTGATTGCCAGGTGCCCCAACCCCATGCACAGTTAGAAAGACATAGGTGACAGTTCACCTTAACTGCCTCATATTTGGACAGAGGCAAGCCTTGCCTTATTTTTATGTGTGATTTGATACCTTTATCAAGGATACAGTCTTCTTCAGAAAGAAATTTAGAAAGATTGTGGTAACATGAACTAAATTGAATAGAAAAAAAAAAGCCTTTGAGAACCTTTTGAGTTTAAAGGTTACTGCCACCCAAAACTCAAGAGTAACCTCTGTCCTAGGCCAGGGCTTGTCTGTTAAGGACAGTGAAGAGTATCCTACAATGTCTGCAGTAAGGAAAACTCAGGAAGTACCAACTCCCAGGGATAGGCTCAGGAGGTTCCTCTGTCTGGCTTAACCTTGGGACAACTGCCCCTAGTGTGGCAGAGTCTAGCTGGACCCTTTTCCAGCTGGGACATGGAAAGTCTTCTGTCTTACAATTTGGGCTTCATAAGGAATTTGAATGCCAAGATGTACTTTCCATGGTAACTTTGCAAACCAATCAAAAGCACTTATGTGGCAGCTGAAAGGAGAGAAGGCACAGGAAGGAGATGAATGCAGTCTTCTCACTCTTTCCTTCCCAGTTTCAATTTTGCGTCTCCTTCCCACTTTTTTCTGTAGGATCATTTTGGTCAACTCTGTTATCTCTTTGTTAGCACTACAAGAGTTTCCAGATTCTTCTCTCTAATCGCTTAGTCGCTAGTCATTTCTTGTGCTGTTTTCCATAATGGTGGAGATGTCCCTGTCACTTCGGAGGCCATTGGATATAAGACAGGTATGGTATGACTTCCTGCCTTCCTGCCACAAGTCCACTGGGCCCTCCTGTTTCTGTATGGCCACTCTGACCTTCTGTCCATTCATGTGTAAGCACCATAACACCCAAGCAATATTATATGTGGAACCTACCTTTAATAATATCAAAGAACAAGGGTACTCTCCCGCCTTGGACCTCTGCTTGGTGGGTCACTCACAAATTTTCACCTGTGTTCCACTTGGCTTCGAGGTCACACTTAAGATAACCCTCCAAGAAATTTCCCGAATTCCATTGATCTAAATGTATCATGTTCCATCGTTCTACTCCTACAGCAACTTGTGTTAAAATGTGGATTCAAATGGCCATGGATGTGTTTTGTCTCTAGTCTAAAATGTACATCCTAGAAAGTGGGGACGGTGTTTGTCCTAGCACCTGAAAGAGGGTCTGCATTCAAGAGCTGTTGAATAAACATTCACTGAATAAACACAGACTTTTGGAGAATAAAATCTGTCTTTTTAAATCTTTGGAGACACCATAGCATCGTCACATTGAAAATACATGAATCAATTCCTTTTTAGGTTGTTATATCCTAAAACCTTTGTAAACAAAACAAAACAAAACTCCTTTGAAACGTTAGCATCTAGCCATGCCTTACTGCACCACCATGGCCATAAGATTTTCATTTCTAACCATCAAATCATGCCACATATTTTGTTCATGAAAGATGATAGAGTTGTCTCTCAGTATCCCCTGAGGTAGGTTCTAGGAACCGCTTGGGCTACCAAAGTCTACAGGTGCTCAAGTCCCATAGTATTTGCACAGAAGTTACACACACACAGACACACAGACACACACAGACACACACACATACACACACACACACACCCCTGTATATTTAAATCATCTACAGATTACTTTTAATAATGCTGTGTAAATAACTATTGTACTGCATCGCTTAGAGAGTGATGTCAACGGGAAGTTTGCACTCATTCAATACAGACACCTTGTTTTTTGATCTGCAGTTGGTTGAGTACAAGGATGTTGAACCTGAAGATATGACAGGACTGCCATATATGAAGTATGTCACAAAAGCTGAGTGCACGTGTATTAACAGTATCATTGTTGCTAATGTTGGGTCATGTGATGGGAACGAAAGGTTGAAACCAGTCTGCCTGAGTGGTTTGTGCTAGGATAGCTTCCGTATAGACTACCATAGACTGGTTAATTGGGCAGAAATTTATGGACTCACAAATACAGAGCCTGGAGAGTTCACTGTCAAGACAGCAGCAGGCTTGGTGATTCTAAGATGTTGCTGGTAACCCTTTGTCGTCTGCAAGGGAAAACACATTATTTTCACAAGTGGAAGGGCAAAGAGTGAAAAGGAGGTCGGACTCTCCCTTTCATGAAAGCACAATCCCGCCCCTGATTATGGAACCCTCTAGCTTAATCTCCTCTTAAAAACCCCACCTCTCATTACTTTTAATAATGGCAATTAAATTTCATCATGAGTTTTGAAGGGGACATTGAAACCTGGCTCAGGTTTTGAAGGGGCATTTCCCTGGCTCTGCAAGCTGAAATATACATAGGCAATTCTCGTAACCGTTTTCTCTCCTGTCCTAGAATTAATTTCTTTTGTGGAAATGGGAGCCCTGTTTTATGTGTGTGTAGTTTGTCTCTGTGGTTGCCAGAGACCAGGTTCTAAGATGTATCTATACTGTTTTCAATACTTACTAAGCCATTGTTATTCTCTAGGAAAATAAGAGTCGTTTCCACAAGAGTTGTTTGTTTGGTCCCTTGAGCATTCATGTTTCACAAATGAGATTCATTCTCTGTGGGTTTGACCTCTTTTCCAGGGAGGTTCCCCTGAAGGATGCTAAGGAATATGCCGAATCCATAGGTGCCATCGTCGTTGAAACGAGTGCAAAGAATGCTATTAATATCGAGGAGCTCTTTCAAGGAATCAGTAAGTACCTGCGGTGATGTTTTTAGCCTAATTTAGCTTGCTTTTTATGCTTCAGGGAGTCAAAGGATAAACTCGTATAGCTCTGAAATAGAACCTTTCTGTGTGAATTTATCTGATTTTAGGGACAAACCCTGAAGAGCTTGGTTTGAACCCCCTACATGAGCCCCCTACAGCTATGCATGTGTTAACATTCATCTCTTTCATTCCAATTCTAAATTTCCATAATTCTGTGACTTAAGCTGTTCATTCTGTTTTGTGAACCAAAACAAAGCAACCATACCACAAGAGTAGAATTTATGTTTATAACTACATTTGTAATTATACCAGTAGTTAAAAATTATGTGTTCTATCTGGGTGTGATGGTACATGCCTTTAATCCCAGCATTTGGGAGGCAGAGGCAGGTGGCTCTATGAGATTGAGGCTAGCCTGGTCTACATAGTGAGTTCCAGTACAGCTGGAGCTTCAGGGAGACCCTGTTTCAAAAAAAAAAAATTTTTTTTTTTTGCATTTTGTGTAGTATATTTACAGGACTAGAGATGAACTAGATAATGATGAAGTAGAAGTTCAAAGTCACCCATTGAGTCAACTAACTCTAGGCAAACCAAATAAGGGAACTTTTAGCATTTTCTTTGGCCAGATGTTCGTCTACCAAAAAAATGCCTCCCCTCACGTGACCTGAAGTTGGAAATTGGGCAGGGGCATCATTTGTAATGATTGTTACATTCTGGTACTCTAAGTTATGACAAGTGACAGCTCCCTGTGGGTAGCCAACCCTGGGTCATACACTTCTTTCTCTTGACAGTATTTTCCAGTGAATGACTTTAAGCCTGTTCACCTGGTATGGCTGTGCTGATTCAGTTGTCTGCAGCCGTGAGGCACACATTTCACCTTCATAAGCTCTGGTCATGACATCATGTTCAGGCTTCTGTCTGAAAAGTGTCTGCTGACCCAGATCTGGGAAAACTGTGCTCACAGCCCTGGAAGTTCATCAGAATGCAATAGGAGACTGGGAGAAGTCCCCAAGTTCAGTGAGATGTCAGCATTGCATGGCCTGGGGACCCTCTGTGGGAGGAGCAGAACCCTTACCAGTTACCAGCCATCCTCAGATCTCTTGGTTCTGGGCAGTTCCAGAAGGGATGGGGACTGTTGGCCTTCTCCTCCACCTGAGGTCACTGCTGCTGGAATTCAGGGTCCTTGGCTCCTGGGACAGAGCTGATTTCCGTTTTACTGGTTCCAGTCTGTTACTTTGGATTCTGAGAAGCTACATTAGGGAAATTTTTGTTTGTTTGTGTTGGCCTGAAGGAGAATTCACTGGTGATGGAGAACCCTGACTTGGTTACTTTCACTATGGGAAAGCTGGTGAAACAAATATGTGAGAGGAGGCTCCTGGGCTTTCCTGTAGGCTGTGGGGCCTGTCACCACAGTGTCCCTGCTGCCTTCCCTTCTTGTACTCCTCAAGGATTTTTCCTGCTGTCATTTACCCCTGTAACAGAGAAACCTCAAGCTCATTGACCTGAGTGGTTAATCTTAATTGCTACTGTTGTCATTTGGTGTTGGACACCTCATGTTCTCACAATATCAACTCCTTCTGCAATGGGCTGTAGGAACAGATGCTCTCTGTACCTCTGTCACTCTGGGAGAGCCTGCAAAATTTGGTTTGAACTACGTGACTTTGATATTACCCCGGAGTCAGCTGATTCTTTTCTGGTGGTGTTAGGCTTTTCTGTTACGTTCAGCTATTAAGCATTTTATTTCTTAAGTGTTTTTGTTTGTTTGTTTTTGTTGTTGTTGTTGTTGTTTAAGATGGGGTCTTTGAGATAGGCTTTGAACTTATGGCAGAGCTCTTCCTTCTGCCTCCTAAACGCTGGGATTACAAGCATGAACCACCTTGACCTGCTTCAGCAGTTTTACTGAGCTACCTGACACTGTTATACTAACACCTCCCATTGCACAGCTTCATCTATTTCACAGAGCCTGCACAGAGTCTGCTTCCCAACATGAGCTCTTTGCCTCATGAAAGGCAGGGGTCAAACAGGAAGCTCTGTTTTTTTTGTGTGTGTATTATATTCGCCTCATGAGTTCTACATGAGCTAGGAAGACTCTCTGAACTTGATGAAAGTCATTACGAAAATTTTTTTTAAAAATCAAAGAAGGTCCTCAAAGAGAACAAGAAGCCTAGATAGTATTAACATCACAGCTTGAAGTATTTCTTTGTATGGCTCAGCCAGCATAAATCCCTTCCCATGTCAGGAGTCTTTGTGGTTCACAGTGATGAAGATTTTCAATAATTAATTCCTCAAATCTTGGTGGTCTGCATCATTTTGGGGAAAAAAATGTTATGCTTAAGCCTGAGGTATTTGTGGCTTCAAAGTCATTCCCACATAAGCCTCTGTCACCTCATCTTCCATGTCAAATAAACATGTTTCTTTCTGTGTATTATATTTAGTTATAAATGCTTAGCAAAGACAGCGTGCAGATCCATGCTGACTCTCTAGTCATTCTCTTATAGCCATTATCTATCTAGTCATCATCTTTCATCTATATGCCAATCCCACTTCCATCGATTGTCTGTCTCTGTGTATCACTGTCCATCTGTCCTTATCATCCCTGTATCCATCCATCCAGCTATCACCATCCACTTCTCTTTCCTATCCATCTCAATCCATATCTCCATCTCTATTCCAGTATCCATCTATTTCTGTCACCCTTGTATCAGTCCATCCATCATCTTCATCCACCCCCCTCTCTACCCAACTATCTCTTTCTATCTCAATTTCTCTACCTATCCACCTACACCTGTAAGCTCTAGTGCCTTCCCTTCACCTCTTTACTTCTTCAGGCAACTCTTCACGAAAGGGTCTTGTAGCCTAACTGCAGGTCAGTTTAAAACAGCATTTCAAATATGCCTGAATACCCTGCAGCAGACTCTTCGCTTCCTTTTCTCTGTTCCATGTGCTCCTCCCCAAGCTTAAAATAGAGCTGGATATTGCTGACACCTATGCTCCCAAAGCAATGTTCCAGAGATAAACATGCCCGGGAGAAAAGATGCAATAAAAACCAAAGAACAAGTAGCGAGAATAACAGACTTTAAAAAGGTGTGCTTTAATGAAATTAATTCACACTGACTCGGATGAAGAGACAAATGCTCCTCTTTTGTATCCCTGGAGTCTTCATAAACCAGAAACCAGACAACTGTGTTTTCTGAACACAAGCCAATACATTTTCTAACTGCAAACTGTTTACTAAAATGCTGTATCTTATTGAAGACTGCAGCTGCCTTCTAAAGGATCTTGCTGCCACCCAGCCCTGACTGGTTCAGGTGCAGTCTACCCTACGCCGCCTCATCCTCTGACTGCTGTTCTTTCAGGTGCCCTCCTGTAAGGCACACTTTTAGATGTGCTTTATCCTGCTGTGTATGGCTCTTTCTCTTCTGTACATTTCTATCCAGGGGGTTGTTCATTTTTCTTACTTGGGTTCTTAATACTTTGAATTTGAACATTAAAGATTTTCTCTTTGAGTTGAAGTATGAGAAGAAATATTCTTGGGTAAGAATATAATTGTAACTTGATTTAAAAAATTTTTATATGAAAACACAAAGAATATTCTGTTACTGCTTAGCTACTGCAGTGTTAGAAACCCAGAACGAAAGATGTGAATGCCTTCTGTATGCCCTGCACTCTGCTTCACTCTAGACCACAGCAGGAAACCCAGGGTTCAAGCTCTGGGACTTCAGCTCTGCTCCTTTACTTCTTCCTTGGTAGTTGCTGGCCCTGGCCAGAGTGGATGCCCCTCTCTCTCTTCTTGAAAACCTTTGCTTTCAGGTCCACTTCAATTCTTCTTCCTTCAGGGAGCCTTCATCTGTTCCAGCTCTCCCTGGTGGTATTAGCCATGAACATGAGCATATTAACAGTTTCTTTTGCCATTTTGACATGTGAATATATTCAATTTTTACATGATATTCTCCCCCCACCCCAGGTGTGTGTGTGTGTTCATTCTTCTCTAAAAACTGCAAGTTCTTTAGCAGCAGAAATTTTTCTTTCACATTCTTAATGAAGCTGGTACTGGTAAATAGTTTTGAGCTAAACTCAGAGTTTAAATTCAGATCTCTTTTCTATGCCAACTTAATGTTGAATAATGCCAATAAATTGAACAAGTCTAGGTTCTCTTGGTTCATTTATTCAACAAAAGCATAGTACTCACTTGCATGCATTTGATGCCATGATAGACATGGTAAACAAAAGGCACTGACAGTCAAGTGGGGAAGATGGGCTGTAGGCACAAATAGGTATATGTTTATACTTTGCGATAAATGCTGTGAAACCAAAGAGCAGAGATCATAAGCGAGAATGGCAGATAAGGACTTTAGGCTGGGTGAAGGCCTCCCCAAGGAAATGGATAAGGTGGAGCTGAAAACTGTGAGAGGCCAGTTGGACAGCTCAAGAAATGCTCCAAAGCAGATTTCCCAGTGCCACAGTAGTTAAGTCCCCGAGGTGGAAACTGATGTGTTGGGGTCATCTGGGGACAATAGTGATAGAGGTTGGAGACAGGGCCTTAAAATGAGGAAAGGGTGATAGTCCCAGTGTTGTGTCCTTTTTCACCAATGTGTCCAGCTATATGGTAATCTTATAGGGGTTAGATAGTTGTCTGTTAATGACCTTCAAGGCTTTCAGAATGGCATGTCTTAACACAGGGCCAAAAATATGATTCAGATCCCATCCTTTTGACATGTAATCAGAGTCGTGAAGTTTCAGTTCCTGGTTTTCCAGGCTGCTGATTATAAGGGAGGGGTCCATCCTCAATGACCTTCAAGCCTGCTAATATCTAACTAGCTACCTATTTGCTTGTTTTTGTTTTTTTTTTTTAAGTACATACAGTTCCGAGACTCAAGCATATTGGCTTGGAAGAATCAGAATAACGTGTTAATAGGAAAGACAGTGATGTGTCTTGCTCTATAATCACTGTTGCACAGTGTGTCATCTGCTCTAAGTCCACTGGATTT